AATTATTTTGTTCTGGTGAAAGTCTAGAAAGAGGTTTTAAGACATGAGATCTAATTTTAATTCTTATCTTCGCTTATATTGAATTTAAAGCCATTAAATATACATGACTGACGATTAGCAACCATTTTGTTTTGACAATCCTACTAATATTATAAATGCGAAAGTTTAGATGGATGGATGTTTGTTAGAGTTTGTAGTCTAAACGGCTGAACGGATCTCGATGAAATTTGGCATAGACGTAGAAGATAGTTTGGAAGAACACATAGCCTACTCATTTTTGTTTTTTATTATACGCGGACGGATTTGCGGGCGAAAGCTGGTTATTACATTTAGATTACTATAATTTGGAAACACTGTACGAGTTTAGTTCTATATAAATGTATTATAATTTCTTAGAGACAACAACGTACACAATAACAATAGTAAACTTACATATTGTTAGTTGTACGATCTACGCATACGTTATATTTACACTACAATCAAATTGTTCATATCGGACAATGGACGCACTTTGATACGCGATGCGTTTTAATATGAAACTTTGAATGTTGACTTATTCGTTTAACTGAAATTGGTAATTTTTATAATATAAGGTGGCAAACGAGCAAGCGGCCACCTGAATCCACCGAAATGGAAAGCGACCGCTGCCCATAAACATTCGCAATTGCAGATGCGCCACCTACCCTTATTTGACGGAGGAAAAGACGCACATAAAGAGGACATTTCCCCTTCCTATGCGTCTCCTTCACAATCAAATCCACTGTTCCTTCCCATCCTTTCCTTTTAAGAAACGGGAAATGAACTAAAATAAGGCCTCCGGCACCACACTCATCAGACGAAACGCGGAATTGCTTCCACTTCACGCCAGTTTTCTGTGTTGTCGTGGTATTACACCGGCGAGCCGACCCATTCGTGCGAAAATGTTAAAGCGGGCTCTACCACTGTTAAAATGATATAAACAGATTAAACAGCTGTTGCTCCCGACTTCGTCCGCGTGAAATAAAATATAGCCTATATTACTCACAGATAAATTACCTTTCTAATAGTATAAGAATTTTTAAAATCGGCCCAGTAGTTTTAACGTGAATCAAATACATACAAAAATACAAATCTTATCTTTATCATACTAAACTAATAATTTGTAAACGTGAAAGTTGGATGGATGGATGATTTGTTATAGTTTGTAGCCTAAACGGCTGAACGGATCTGGATGAAATTTGGCATAAATGTAGAACATAGTCTGGAAGAACACATTGACCATTTTTTTTTAGTTTTTTTTTAGTATTAGTATAGATTATACAAAGCAAAGAGTTAAAAAATATTAAAAGCGTAAAGACTGACGGAAAATTTTAAGAAAACAATTAATTATATTCATAGTATGAAATGACTATACCCTTATTGGAATATATCCGTGGCTAATAAAAAAAGTTATAAAAGTACACGACAGCTATCACCATCTAAAATATTCACAATATTTTTACAAGACTCCTTCCGCCATTAGATCGCCACAACCTTTAAGGAAGTGGGGCACGAAAGTACCGGGCTGTAAAGGGCAATTGCTATAACGACACACTTCTTCCTAGACTTTATAGGTACCTTTACAACCCTTTTCAAACAATACAGTACAAAACTGGGACAACCTTATTATCCTAATCAGGTTGGTAGGATAAGGAAAAGGCGTGATTTTTTATATTATTATTGACACAATAATTGCAATAAAGCCACAAGCACAATCATCATCAACTTGCCCTTATCCCTTACGGAGGGTCGGCACAGTATGTGCTGCTCTTCCATACATCTCTATCAGCCGTCATATCTGAAACCACTTCTTTCTTAAGCATAATCCCTTTCACACAATCTATCCATACTTGCAAAGCCACAAGCACAATATTACATATTAGTGGTTGTCGAGGAATGCTTTCGTAATTTCTTACTACATAATTATTACAATCCTTCAATGCACTTTCATTTACAAGTATTTCTTCAAGGATATTTTTATTCTTTCGAAATGACCGTGACATTCTCAATAAAAATTGTTTGTCTAAAAAAACTTACATTACAAAATTAAACTTACATAATTAGAATGAAGTTTGTTTTGTACATACGGTCAGTACTAACATTTAAAAAAAACAGTCAAAGCGACAGTTAAAATTTTGCTCATCCAATTCTTAGCTAGAATTGCTCGTCTGTAGCGAGCTTGTCCAAGTCAACTTTCACATAAAACAAGAATAGTCCATTGTTCAAAACATCAAATCACAAACCAATTCCCACACGATGAAATAAAGAAGCAATTTTGGTAAAACGTAACAATATGCTGTACAATAAAGCAGAGTTGCCCGTCATTGTAAAGGGTAGGGAATTTCATTCCTTGCTATTGACAGCCTAAGATTGAAACATCGACTGATAGGTTTTGCGGTGGTCGACAATCGCGAAAAGACATTCACAATTGAGTTATACTCGACAGGAATAGATAGGAACATATTCTGTGGTATGCGGAAGGTATTACTTATGATGGAGTACCAGAGGCAAGAAACCATAGACTTAATAAAGGCAATTTACTTTTGTCCCTCGAATAATGCTGTTGGTAAAATGTTTTAACAAAAAAAGAACAAAAAATTCTTGTGGAGACCAATTCTGTAGATCCTAAATGAACACCAGAATAACGGCGTAACAATGCATTATGTGTATTAAAAAAAAAAACAAATTTGTTTCACAATATCCTTAGGGAATGTATTAATGTTGTGAAAAGTAATATCTTAAATTATTTCAAAGCGAGTTTAATTTATTTTAGTAAATATAACGAAATGAAAGTCGCCACACGAGAGTACTTAGAGAATGCAACTGTCCCTCTCCCTCTAGAGATTCGAAAAATTCAGAATTTAAAATACATAGTAGGTGCCCCCCCATCTCCCTAGACCATGATCATCGACTCGGCGTAAATCGTCATATAACCATGCTAATGAAGGGGTCATGAACACGACACGCAGGTCAACGCCTAACCCATAAAAAGTTTAGAAAACATTAACTGCAAATTTTTTACTTAAAACAAGTCTTATTTACCAAAGCATTGATATAGACACGACAATTTGTATCTTATTTGCCCGCTTTTTGGTTAATTCGCATCCTAACGCGTCTTCTTCCATAGGTGTCGCCAGATGATTTGGGTAGAAATAGAGCTACCATTATATGGCCTTATTCAAAGAAGTTTATATATGTACTTTATTATTACCGCCCTTCACGCTTCTGACGAGGCCCGTGTCTCTGCTTAGTCTTTTTTAACTCAAAATCCGTGAAAGATTTATTTACATTATTGTAATCTATGTGTGAAGTCATTCATTAGTCAAGGTATTGCTTTGTCCTTTCAATAATTTTTCCTCGTCAACTGCACGTACTCGATGTATCCTTGCTTTTTTTCCGACAGTTAATTTTGCAAATTAATATAAGCCTAGTATCTTTCGTAATCCTTTGGAACTTATTCTTAGTAATGTTTTAGATATCATTTTGGTTCTTTTAGTAACCTAAATCTTAGATCGTTCTCATTTTAACAAGTGTACTGGCCATGTAAAGTTGTTTATGGTCAAGTAAGTTTTTTTATGATGTAATTATGAATCATGTTCGTCGTCAATCTCTGGTCGTCGTGAGATCATCGATGAGAATAATTGTCTATGGTAAACGAATTAATTTGCGTTACAAGGTCGCGCTTTTGTCCTCTACTGCTAAGAAGTAATTATCACTCGCATTTGTCGCGTAAACTTGGCAGATGTTTTTGTAATTATTATCATAATCACCGTGAGAAAAAAGTTACATCTTTTTCTTGAATATGCTTTTGTTCGTAATGATTATACGTAATCACTTCTATGTTTTTTTGTTTATAATATTGATATAACAGTATAGGTAGCTTTTATAGTAAATATGCATTGCAAAAATGTAATTAAATTCTCTACAAAGAATCATCTATCAACCTCAATAAAAACAAATGAATTACGTTGATGTATGTTCCTGTGTGTGTTTCCCGCCATAAAACTTTGCCGTCTTGTGACATCACATGTTCGGAGACTTCCTGTACTTAGGAATTGTTCCTGTCACTCCTTGTTACGTAGACCTAGTCCTTGTAAGAACAATGTGACGCTAAATTCTAAATTAAAGTCTAGAGACTAAGGATAAGTCGTAAAAATATTTTAAATAAATCTTCAATATGGTTTTAATTAGGTTATCTTTGTTCGTCACTGTTTATAATACCGGTTTTTTGTTTTGGAAGTTATTGCTCATTGTAAATGACTGTTTAGGAAGCAGAAAATAACGTAATGTTAAGGAAATCAGTTAAGGTGTTCAGACCGAGAACACCATAGAGCAGAGCAAATTTTTTTTGATTGTATAAAGCTCAATTTAATTTGCAATAAAAAATCTGTTTCGCTCTACGCTACGGTCTGTTTGAACAGACCCTTATACTAAAAATAAGTCGTCAAAACTTCTATTTTTATAATCGACTAGCTGTTGCTCGCGACTTCGACCTCGTGTAGTTTAAAAATAATAAGTAACATAGCCAGTGTTATTCACTGATAAAGTGGATTTTAATGGTGAAGGATTTTTTTAAATCGGCCCAGTAGTTTTTGAGTTATTTCAATACATACAAAAATCCAAAAATACAAATCTTTCCTTTTTATAACATTAGTATAGTTAATAGAAATTTATATTCATATTAATATTTATTTGTATAAAAATAAAGTGTATGTATATTCAAAAGTAAGTCAAAAAACATTGCAATTAAACAACAAAAGGCCGACAAGTTAGTATTTATTCAAGTGGATAAGACAAGGTGAAATAAATATGAAGTCATAGCTAATAATACGTGTAAACAATTTTAATGAAGTTTGCGATGTCGAACTAAACTTTCAAACTTTTCCTTAACTTTTAGAAGAAGTAGCATTTAAGAAGTATCTACTGTAATAATGATAACATACTATACAAACTTGATAAAGTCAATTAAAAAGTAATGTTACCTGAGATGCAAATTTTCGATAAACTTATCCGTGGTCAAATTGTCTAGCAGGACGAAGTCGGACACACCAACTTCTGGCTGGGTAGCCATGATTACGGTTCACTTTTTATGTCACAAAACAAATTATAAGAATGTTTTACACTATTTGTTGATAAATATTACAACAATTGTACAATTTTTGTCAACAAACCGTTAAAAATACAATGACGCCAAACACAACCATCCCCCGCCGACATTTCACGTAAACTGACATAATTTTGAATTTAAGTTAGAGTTAAAGAAGAACGTACATTTAAATCAATAGCAACATTATTCGTTACCATTTACAAAATATGCATTTTTTTAAAAATTCAATGAAATCAATTTTCATTTCTAATCATCGAAACTTCGTTTCTACCTAACTTAATCATACTGTTTCGATATTTTTAATCCGACTGGAGATTTTTATAAAATTGAATTGCTTATCTGTGCGCCGCCATTTTCCTTGTTGTAGGCGCCTCAAATGTCATAATAATTCCAATTTACTGAAAATTACGTTTTCTTTACTTTTTACGTTCTTTTTTATATTTCATTGCTATTGTTGAGCATTTTTATGTGCAATTAGTTTTTCTTTACGTAAAAAGTATTTGTTTTGCCTTTCCTAACTGTTCAATAGTCCAAGGCTGTTTGACTGATATTTTACGATGAATATCAAAGATCTTCATAAAAGGTAGCGAGTTATTTAGACGCCCACGGAAGTGTCGTACTAAGGGCATTAGGAGGTAGTTTTTCCAAATTCCCGCGGAATTATGTGCGCTTGAGGTGGTGTAGTGATACATTGTGTATTGTGTATGAGACAATGAGCGAGTCCCCAGGCGTAGAGTGGCTGCCGGCCTACAGCCCAGGTCCGCCGCGCCACAGTCCTCTGGGCCCTATCCCTCGATTTCTCTACGAAGATGTCCAACCGCCTTGTCGCCAACAAGAAAATAACAATAAGGAAGTAGAGCTAAAGGAAAATTTAAACAAAATCAAGCACACAAAACCTGCATACAGGTAATAATTTTTCCTCCTATACTTTAACACCTTTAAATTCATGCGTCATCAGATACTGTAGGTCATCTTACTTAGTACCTAATTAAGTTTTTTGTTAATGTATTTTCCTGCAAATCTTGCTTTGTGGTTATACAAAAGTTGTCATTTTTTGCTACATCATATATTTTTTCGTATCACCTATTAAGTAAAATGAGCAGTTGTTTTAAGTACAATTTAAACATCATTCTTATGATTTTTTTGTATAATTTTCCTAAAACTCAATTGTATTTATTTTATGTATGGTGTTTCCAATTGTATATGACTATATTTTTTAATGCAAGACTGAAGATTGAAATTCTGGCATGATTTGCATCATTTAAATAATTAAAACTTAACCTGATAGATAGTTTTTCATTCTTTTTCTTCAGCCTCTAGCATTGTACTCATAACAACATTATATAAAAATCAGTAATTTAATTATACACAAATATACAAACATTAGTTATTAAAAAAAATTTCGCTGTTGTAATCCACTCCTTTCTTAAGCATATCCTCTTTCACACAATCCATCCATAATTAATACATTATGAATTATTACTACTGCATATAAAATGTTGCTAACCAAGTTTGTATGAAGACTTATTAACATGCATTCCTATGCAAATGATTTCTCTACATCATTTATCTCAATTACAATCAATGCATCTTTTATCCTAATTAGGAAATTGTTGCTATCTGTATATTTAAATACTGGCCGGTTCTCACAACTTTGTCCGCATGAAATTAAAAAGTAATAGAATATATAGCCTATGTTACTTACAGATAAATGACCTTTCTAATGGTGAGAATTTTTAAAATCGGTTGACTAGTTTTTGCATGAATCAAATACATGCAAAAATCCAAAAATACAAATCTTACCTCTTTATAATATTAGTATTCTAGTTTCCACTGAAATACTCACAGGATTTGGGGGGGGGGGTGACTGAAAATGGATAGATAGATAAATATTGTTAACCCTTAATTTATTAATTAATTGGGCAAGTCTTACTCACTTGACATTACTATAATAATAATAATAATAAGCCTCTTTATTTCCATATTTACATAGGGTTTCAAAAACTTTGTTTTGTTAGTATTGTTAGTTTTACACCTTATTATAGTTATTAGTATTGTTAGTCTATTACATTTTTTTTTATTTACTTACTTATTTATTTATTTATTTTAAATATGGATCCCGCCTTGGGTAAAGGCCTCCTCCATCTCCTTCCAGCCTTCCCTGTTTTTGCTTGGAGTCAGCCAGTCTTTCCTTGTCACTTCCACATTACTATATCCATTTTAATTTCTTTATTGGTAACAAATCAGTATCAATCTCAAGAAAAACTCTCTTTATAAAAAAAAATACTTTTCTAAATCTACAGCACCCACTTATCTAAAAACCATCATCAGTTTACAATCTTATAAAAAATGTATCTTTGAATAAGGGTTAATTAAATAAACTTAATATTACGGTAGGAGTAATTCACCTCACTGCATAACACCACCTGTTTATTTTTTTTTAATAACAATATTTTTCCAGTTATGCAAGTATGATCAGACTTGCAATCAACAGCTCTGCTAATGGAAAGATGACCCTCAACGAGATCTATAACTACATTTGCAATGCCTTCCCATATTACAAAGAAGCTGGTAAAGGTTGGATGGTGAGTAAAATGATTAGAATTTTCTTTATATCATAAATTAGCAACAAAAATGTCCTGAATGTACATAACTAGCAGACAACTGCCCATAGAATTCTGATATTTGAGATAACATTACCAAATTAGATAGATGCCTGTTAGAGTTTGTAGCCTAAACTGATAAATGGACCTCAATAAAATTTGGCATAGATGTAGAGTATAGTCTGGAAGAACACACAGGCTATTTACTTTTGTTTTTTAATTCCACGCAGATGTTGTAGCAGGTGAAAACTATTAATATTTGTTTCAGAATTCGATCAGACACAATTTATCTCTGAACAAGTGCTTCATGAAGGTGCCTCGCAGCAAGGACGACCCAGGCAAGGGTTCCTACTGGGCTATGGATAGTAGCTACAAGATAGCAGAGGTTACTCCGCGGCGTAGGCGCAGTCTAAGGGTGAGTATTACCTCAGTAATAATCATCAAATTTGAGTTATTATGGAATATACCACTAGTCTTATTGTTGGTTATATTAAGGCCAAATACTTGAACAATTTCTAAATGCGTAATAGTTTACAGTGTTCAGATCGGGTAGGTTGCCAAGGTAAAGTCATATTTTCATACTAATCTTAAATTATTGCTTGATTAAGTCTTTATGGGGTCCTTATGCCCAAATTCCATTAAAATGTTGACCTCTATCAAATATTATGCGGCGCTTAAGCTAACGGCCTGTCCCATTACTGCCTGATAACAGGTCAAATATCTTAAAAGTGACATCACTGTCAGAGTACCAAAATCCGATACTTCCATTACATATTTTATATGTTGGATAATTGGATGGATAATTGTGGGACTGGCCCAAAGTTTTTGATGTATTTTATAGTATGGCCGTATTGAATGTACTAGAAACGTGCATATGTGTTCCAGATGGCGCCGTACAGTCCGGAGTGCAGTTCCAACAGCAGCGGCGAGGCGGGGCTTCTGGCGTGCGCGGACGCCGCGCCTACGCCCCCCGCCACCCCCACCACGCCCACCTCGCCCACCACCCCCACCGTCACCGCACTCACACTCAAGGAGGAGCCCGTCGTTAAGGAGGAGAACGGTAAGTATGACGTACCGCCCTCCAGTTAGTAACCCCAACTGAACCAATCAAGAATTTTTCCCCCTTTAATTTTTTACCCCCACTTAGTAAATTATCTGTTATTTGTGTCAGAGCACTCGAACTCTAGAGACTTTATATTGGTACATTGATGAATTCGGGCTTTTAAACCACAATTACATAAAACAATATCAGTGTGATATGTCTGTCTATATGCTATTTATATTTTGTTTCATGTTTTTAAATTATTTTGAATACTGATTTATGTGTAAATTTGATAGTGAAGTTAGAATAAATTGTAGATTTTGTTTATCTATCAAATGTTTCAAATGTTAATTGAGCTAGTAATTATTATGTACTTATTATTGTAGTAAATTTTACAAAATAAATAATGTTTCAGATATGAGCCACACCGATGATGCACTCTCGGCTTTGATGAATGAAGAGTTGATGCCCGATGTGGATATTAGTAGAGGTACATAGAGTAGAAATATATTGGTGAAAGGCTATTTTATGCGATATTGACTCATATATTCAGAATTTAAAATATATATTACAGATAATGAAGTATGCAGAAATATAGTAATTTTAATCTAGAACCGCTCTGAAAATCTTTCAATTGAAATTATATTTAGGGTTTGCGTTTATTTTTTTTTAATGAAGACACTAAATGGCTCTCATGAACATTTTACCTAATGGCGCTTAAAACAAATAGCCTTTCAACCAACGATATGTAAGAATATATGGATAATTTTAATTTTATCATCAGCTACTAAGCTCAGTATAACGCTTGTCCCTTAATTTGAGGGTAACTAGGCCATAGTTTATTGTCTACTAGCTTTCGCCCGCGACTGTCCGCGTGAAATTTAAAAAAAAACAAAAGTAAGTAGCCTATATATTCTTCCAGGTTATCCTACAAACTCTAACAAACATCCATCCATCTAAACTTTGGCATTTATAATATTAGTATGATTAATAGATTGACGAACATATAACTTTAAATTTTTCTCTCTGGTACGTGCCAAATTACCTTCACAGTAAGAACGCAGTGTTTGACTGTGTTAGGTTAGGTTCGTTTAGATCACTCCCAGAGATCACCAGTAACATTAAATGATAGGGTTCTTTGGGGACAAAATCTGCAGATAATTCTTACCCAAGGCTTCCTTAAAGTTAGCTAATAAATTGTGTTTGTCAGAGCGGTGGTGGTGGTCCGGCGCGCGGCGGCACGTGTGCGGCGTGCTGCACCACAGCTCCCTCACTGACGACTACGGCAACTTCGTGGAGGTGCGCGACGACTGCGACTGCCCCGCCGACTGGGAGGACACGCCCCCCGCGCCCGCCACGCCCACCACACCCGTCGCACCCACTGCGCCCACCGCGCCCCCCGCGCTCTGGCCCACATTATAACAACGCAATCACAACCCTACCACAGGTCAGTTAAAGGCCAGTTTTGATTGCACCCCGGAGACGTAGTACACACTATGGTGCTCTCCGTTGGCCTTTTATACTGCAATGTACATTTATATGGTACAAAGACTTTAAAAAATATATAGACTAGATATAGTGATTTTTCCACCGGTAACTTTGAAAAGTTAGTTTAGTGCCACCTTATGTCCTTGTATTAACATGTTTTAAAACATTTTACTAATAAGCTCCATCTTTTGTTAAAATAATCTAAAAACTATAGACATTTGTGATTTAGTGACACATATGGGCAATTTATTTCAATGCAATTAGTTATAGTGACATTTTTGAGGACCTAATAGTGATGGTGGAAAATATGAAAAATGACTCGAGTGAAATCAACTATGTAGCCTCTGTATATTTTTAAAGTCTTTGTTTTGGCCAGTTTTGCACCCAGGAGACGTTAAAACCAAATGGCCAGTGTACATGGTGCTCTCCGTTGGGCTTTTATACTTAAATGTACATTTACACAGTACATTTATATGGAATTTTATATTCGGATGTCCGACAATCTACATTGTTAGTTATTTTGTGTGGATTGCAGGTAGATTAGTATACACGTATATAGAATTTAGGGTTACTAGTGTCGGTACAATATTACTGTCAATTATGACAGATGAAATGCAATTAATTTCACTTAAAATTAACATTTAATGTACTGAAACTACTTAAATATCAGATGTTAACCTAACAGGGTAGATGAAACTAACAATTTCAGATAAGTTAATATCTTTGATAGTTAAATGGCAGTCTGCTACAAAAATTTTAAATTTTCAAATATTATTGAAATATTTTTTATTCACCCTCCAATTTATTCATACAACCCCAGTTTTTATGCATTGAATTTAAAAAAATTACTTATTGTACAAAAAATATTTGCTATGGCAACACTGAATTAAGTCATTGTTGACTGACATTTAACTGTCAAATCTGACAGATGTTATTTCCCGTGATCCCGAGTTTGTTTTCGCAAATCATTTGAAAAGAGAATTTGTACATATAAATAAATTGATTATTTAACTGTAATACATAAAAACAAAGAAAGTACATACAATAGAAAGTAATAAATAACATATCTGCCAAGTATTTATATAGATTTAGTTACCTATGTAGGTGTAATGTAAATGTGTTATGTATAATGAAATGGACCATAGAGCATATAAAGTGGCATAGAGTTGTTAGGCTTCTTTATGGTTAGAAATGATGCAAACATTTTTTTTTTGCAATATTTGCTGATATCAAGGTATACTTGACTACAAATATTTAATAACAATTTAGTGTATATGAAATAGGACAATGTTACTTAATCTGTATATTTTATTAAGAACAAAATAAATAAATGATAATATAATAATTCAGTTTATATCAAAAGTACATTTTAAAATTTAATTTTGTTATAGATAGTGTGAAAAGTTGAAATGAAAGGCAGTCATATAATAGGGAATATGCATGTATCTTATTTTTTTTTAAACAGTGGTAGAGCCCGCTTTAACATCCTCGCAATTCCTCGTTTCGTCTGATGAGTGTGGTTGCCAGATGCCCAATTTTAGTCCCTTTCCCGTCCACCTTTTTCTTTAAGAGAAGAATGGATGGGAAAGTGGATTTGACGGTGGAGGAGACACATAGGATGGGGCAATATCTTCTTTATGTGCGTCTCCTCTGTCGGATAAGGGTAGGCAACGCATCTGCAATTCCGAATGTCTATGGGCAGCGGTCGCTTAGCCATTGTGGTGATTTCAGGTGGCCGCTTGCTCGTTTGCCACTTTTTTGTATATATAAAAAAACGATTCTATTTGTTATAAAATTACCAGAAAAAAAATTGCTAAAAATTTTAAAATAAAATTACGATCATTTTAGTGCGATGATACTTAAAAAAAGTTTGGTACAATTTGGCGTCATGCATATTGCCTATTGTGAGAAAAAAAAATTATGTATACAAAATTTTATATGTAAGCATATATGGAAGGAATTTTGTAAGATGTGTATGAAATATCAATTTTTTTAATTTGAATTATATTTACTTTTATTGTCCTATTTGATATATACTGTGGTATATAACAGTATTGTAGCTTGGATGCAAACGGACAGATCTCACTTGACCAGTATACAATAATGAACATTTGATTTTACATAACATTTGTAATCTTATCATTTATTATGTATTATGAATTAGTTTGTACGAATTTATAGTTTAATTAGAATTAACTTGCTGTAAGTAACCGGCCTAGGTGTTGCTTGAACATGTTTTTACCGCGTTTACATTGTGCCATAACGGAGTATGGCGGAACTGTCCCATATCTTATTGAAATGTGTTCAGAAACTTTTTAGAAATTGTATCTACATATAGTGATATTGTATATAGTTTGTGGCTCGATATGGATTCAAGAAAATTGGGTTTTATATGTACATCGCTGGCGATTGTATGCGAAATATAAAAAAAAATGTTGTGTAGAAATGTTATATTTCATGTATAGGAAATATACATTTACAGCTTTACAAATAACGCGGTATTAATAAACTTAGAAATATTATTTTTGCGTAAACTCAGTTTATTTTTTAACAGTGGTAGTGCCCGCTTTAACATGTTAGCAGTGCAGGGCTCGCCCCCAGTAACACCACGACCACACAGCAGACAGCCGTCAAATGGAAGCAATTCCGTGTTTCGTCTGATGAGTGTGGTGCCGGAGGCCTAATTTAAGTCCCTTTCTCTTTACCACCCTTTTCTTATAAGGAGAAGTTGGGAAGGGGAAGTGGATTTGACGGTGGAGAAGATGCATAGAAGGGGAAATATCCTCTTTATGTGCGTCTCCTCCTCCGTCGTACAAGGGTAGGCAACGCATCTGGAATTGCGGATGTCTATGGGCAGCGGTTGCTTCGCCATTTTGGTGATTTCAGGTGGCCGCTTGCTCGTTTGCCACCTTATGTTATTAAAAAAAAATCTAAGTTTACCTTTATACCGCGTTATATAAGGCTGTTGGAGTTTTTTGTATTTTTGACGGTGTTAGTGTCGGCCGGAGTGTCAAATAATGGCAGTTATGCTAATCGTAGTTTAACATTCCTTTATGTAGTTGTAAAAGAATCGTTTATTTACATACGTACATGCGCTATTCATAGACCAGTATTTACATTTAAGTATTTTTTATTTGATTTATATTAAATAGACAAATGTATCTGACCAAATGATGGTTATTACGTTACTCGGAAGATATTAAAACTTACTAATAGAAAATAGCACATGTATAGAATAACAAAGATCCTATGGCAGTCGACACTTTTGTTAACTAAAATTGTCATATTTTGACCAATAAGGGAGCTGCAACTGTACGGGTGAATGTTGCCATTTCCCAAATTTCGAAATTATATTTAAAAAATAGTATACAGTTTGGTTTTGATTGCAACAAGAATTTGGAAAGAAGTTGGGAAATTTTTGCTTACGGGTAACTCTAAAATCTAACAGCCCTCCAATTAATGTCTTTATAGGTCTATACAGTAAAAGGATTTTGTAACAGTTTTTTTAATATAGAAAGGAGTAAGTGAGCTATTTTAATTGTCTACTGGGTCAGATATGTTTGTCAGAGTTTAGATATATTTTGTTTATAACTTGGTGCATAATCGAGGTTGCCATCATTTTTTTAACATTTTTTTTCTGTGATAACATTTATAATAAAGAAAATATGATTATTATTGTGGATAGAGCTGGCAGATATTTTCGCAGATATTGTGTATATTATTTTATAGTGAATTTAACCATATTTTAGATGTATTAATTTTCACGCATATATTTTTTGCTGCTAATTTTTTGTATTATTAAGAATTGGATTGAAACAAATCATCATTATTATTGTATTTACTAAATAAGGTTATTTTTAATAATTTCAATGATGTACCATTAATATTTATTGATGCGCAAATTTAAATTTTCATTTCATAATTTTTAAAATTGACTTTAATCTGAAATGTATTATTTAAAGTAGTAAAAAGAAAGATTAAACGTCAAATATGATATTTCAATGCTGGCAACACTGAATTGTTTAGTACGAGTGCGCATCAAAATTAGCTTTTTAATATCTGTAGTTTTATGTTTTAATCCAAATTAACTTGAATTAGTATACAAAATGTATAATTTAGTGTTGTATTGAGCGTTGAGTTGTCACGGTCCGCCTATAGATGATATTGCCGGCCGATCGCGCCGTAACATGTACATTGTATCCCGCTCGAGTTAGTTTACTTTAAGAGTAGAATGTTCTACCTCTAAACAAAACATAGTTGATGTACAATAAAAGTCTTTTAACAATATTGTGCCTATTTATTTATATTCCCGATGTCCCGTTCAATTACACTTGCCTGGTCCCTGTCGATATCATTACACCTATCTGCATTCCCGCTCCCGACCGAACTTGGAAAGGATTTAAAATCTACTAAATTACAAAATACTGTTTTGTACCAAAACCGTTCGTCAAATCAGAAGTTAAACAGAGACCAAAAAGTTTTTACTAACTATCAGAGAAAAAACTTGACAATGATTGTTCATGCGGTTGCAAAAATTGTTTTGATGTTCGAGTTTAGCCCCCAGATGATTTGATGACCAATGTTTCACAAAAAGATTTAGTTTAGCAAATGAAAACTATGATTTCAATATGAATAGAATCTGTTACAGGGTTTTGAAGATATTTGAATACATTTAAAATAATAAGCAAATTAGTGCCCTCTGGCAACCAAACGGAGCAAATTTGGATAGAGGTAATGCGTCAAATCGTTATATTATCGAAAGAGGAATTTATGGTAGTCGATTGGTGAGAGTCAAAATGGCGGGTGTACCATCGCGAATTAAATTATACCACTTACTAAAAAAATGTACCTAAAATGTACTAATTAGTACCTCGCTCAAAAAAAATTGTACCTTCTCTAGAACTTAATTATAACGAAATTAAGTTCCAGCCGCTATATTGACGTCAATATGGCGGGTGTACTATTTTTTATTTTTATTTTGGCCATTGCTTATAACGTATGACTATACCAAATAAATTGTACCTAAATAGTACCTCAATAAAAAAATATACACATTTAATATAGTAGATAGTTTTCGAGAAATAAAACAAAAGTCTTGCTTAGTAACGTTATTTATGTTTTACTCGCTTTCGCCCGCGACTACGTCTGCGTGAAATTAAAAAACAATATAAAACATAA